TTTTCCAATTAAGGAAAATGTATACTATATGTACCTTTGGGTTTTCCTGTTTGTTTTGTCAAGAGAGCCTTTTATTTGTTTCTCAAATGATTGCTATATATTCTAGGCAATTTTCTCATTTTTCTGCTTACTCTATGGCTTACAGGCTTTTTCCTGCAATGATCTCAGACTTTCTAGTAATAAGTGTAAGTTCATTCAAGCAAATTCTGATATCATCTCATACCTGAAAAGTTTTGAGATTTGGGAAAATATTGACCTTACTTGACAGCACATCACTTCTGGAAGCACATTTCCCTAAATCCCTTTCCCCTCCATGATTTCTTCTAAAGCTTCTCAACATGAAGCCTCAGCATAGGCTGAATCCCTCAGGGAATTATGGGCCCTTCCTTCATATTTGAAAGTCAAAAGAAGATGATTCAATATTTATCAATACCTTCAGGCAGACAGCTGGACAAAGCTGAGGAATGGGGGATTTCCTGGGGAGGAGCTGCACCTGCTGAAAGCATCAGCACCCCACCCTAGGGCTTCCTAGATTGGTCTGAAGACCAAGTGGTTAGGAAGCCCCTAACTTCAGTATCAGATAGACCCTGACAACTGACATACTACCAGTGATTCTCCTGTGTCTGGTATCAGCATCCCTGACTTTGCTACATGCAGGCTTGTATTTCTTTTCTTTTCTTTTCTTTTCTTTTTTTTTTAATAATAAACAGTAATTTTTAATGAGAATTTGCTATGTAAAAAATAGTCAAGTGTTCTTTTTTTACTGTATTGACTCATTTGATCAAAGCAAGAACACAATGAGTTACATATTATCATTTTATCATTTTATAGATTCACGAACTATGGTAGAGGGTTGATGCAACTTATCCAAGGTCACACAGCTAGGAAGAGGCAGAGCCAGGACTCAGACCCAGGCATGTTAACCACTACACTATACTGCCTCAAGGGTGTATTAACCAAGGAAGTTTTTTTTCCCCCCCAAAGTGTATTATTAATTGAAAAATAGTACGGTATTGTAGGATAAAAAGTATTTTCTTCTAATGGTTTGACTTAGGGTCTGTAACAGGGCCTAAAAATTTTTATTATTTTATTTTATTTTTATTTTTTCAGGTTCATTGAGGGTACACAGAATTAGGTTACAATGTTTGCATTGTTAGGTAGAGTCCCTCTTATATTTGTGTTCTACCCCCCAAAGGTGTGTCATATATCCCAACATGGTGCCCATTAAGTGGGATCACATCTATACCCCTTCCACCTCCACTCTCCACACTCTCTAGTTCCCCTGTCTCCCACTTTGAATTGATTTGCTGGGCATGTATTAGATCATCTGGCTTAACATTAGTATTGAGTACATTGGATTCTTACTTCTCCATTCTTGTGATACTTTACTAAGAAGAATGCATTTCAACTCCATCCAGGTAAATACAAAAGACGTAAAGTCTCCATCTTTTTAATGGCTGAATAGTATACCATGGTATAAATATGCCACAGCTCATTAATCCATTGCTGAGTTGATGGGCATTTAGGTTCTTTCTATATTTTAGTGATTATAAATTCAGCTGCAATAAACAATCTACTGCAAAAGTTCTTATGAAAAGTGACATTTGTTCTTCTTGGTAGATGTGTAGTAGTGGGTTTGCAGAATCAAAAGGGAAGTCTAATTTGAGTCCCTTGAAGATTCGCCATAATTCCTTCCAAAGAGGTTGTATTAGTTTGCAGTCCCACCAACAGTGTATAAGTGTTCCATTCTCTCCGCATCCACACCAGCACTACCCAGGCTTGTATTTCTGATTCTAGTTTGCTGTATTAAAACAATTTTTGGTTGGATTCCTTATAGTAGATTTTGTTTTTAGTTTTTTATTAAATCATAAAGAGGTAGATCATGTATACATTAATGCATTTAGGGGGTACAATGTGCTGATTTTATATATAATTTGAAATGCTTACATTGTACTGGTTAATATATCCCTCACCTCATTTACTTAATTATTGTGTTAAGATATTTATGCTTTATACTTAATAGATCCGACAATACCCTTGCAATATGCCCGATAGGTGTGATCCCAACATTCACCCTCTCTTCATGTAACCTCCCCTCTCCCTTTCCATCCCCCATCCTGGGCCACAGTTGTGATCTATTCTTCATATGAAAGTGGGAATGATTGTAAATTGGTTTCATAATAGTACTGAGTACATTGAA